AAATAAAAGGGAACGAAGCAGCCCAATACGGAAGGAAAGGAGCTGAATTAGGATGTGTTCTCAGGTTAAGTGTAGACCTCATGGTGAGCTCTATAGAGTAAATTGCACCCCAGATTTGTCCAGACTTAAGGAAAGGAATCAGGGCTTTGTGCCTCAGTATCAGCAGGGCATTGGTTGCTTTTGGGGCATGGGGTGTAACTTCCTAGGTATATTAAGATGAGGTAGCTCCTGTCATCCCAGCATATTCCCTGGAGAAGGTCATAGGTCTACTCTATGCCTTTAACTGCAGCACTAGCAGCATCCAGAGGGTGGGCATACCATCGGGTAAAGGCCAGCACTGTTGATTTAGTCCCAAATGTCTGGTTCAGTTCCTAACAGGACACCATTATTGGCCAAAAGGTAGAAATTATTTTCGTATAAAGAAAAGGCTTGTGTTTTAAAAATCAGTCTTAGGCTCAGAATTTGGCTTAGCCACTAATTAACTGAGAGGTTTGAAGGCAGTTTATTCACTTTATCTGAACTTGTTTCCTCATCTATGCAATGAGGAAGCTAAGAGCCATGCCACAGGGTTTTATGAGGATTAATTATGATAATTTATGTAACGTTCTGGTACACTATATGCTTAAAGATTAAAAGCAGGTTTCTGGTTAATCTTTTATGTTACTTCTCTTTATTGTGGTTTCTCTTTCTAAGGCAGAAAACATTTAGTGGATTTATTTGTTTTAGTTGCTGTCTAGGAAGTTGAAATTTAATTGTGCTTTCCTCAATATTCTAAAGAATTTCATTCCATTATATTTGATAATTCTTCTCATTTATTTTTGAGAGATAAGCATTTTGGTTATTATGGGTAATGTAGAAGTCATTCCAATTCAGCTGAGTAGTGAAGGTCACTTTAGGACAATTTCCAGAGCTTACTTTTTTAGTTTAGACAACTATCTAAACACAGGTATCCACAGCTGGTGAGCACGATGTAGGACCCAGGTTGATAGTTTCATCTGTCCCACTTAAGGAGATTAAATTTAGGGAATGATCTGGATGAAGCAGTCTTATATAGTTAAGAGAAACTTAATCTTGGGGTTGACAACTGATGAAGAATAACAAATGTGCCTTCCATCCACTTGTCTCTTAGTGATTAGAGACAAAATACCGGGTGTCCCCCAGATCCTGCATTATTCACATATTCAGAAAGTCATACTAGATCTTTCTTTGTTCTTAATTCATCATCCTCAACCAGTTTACTTTCAGTGCATGATTTTTCTGTGCTGCAAACACACATTAGAATAGTTTCCACAGTAGAATAGTTTCAAAGAGTGACTCATTTGGAGTTTTATGTACATCGGCAAACCCAGGGAGAAGGGTAAAGAAGTTCCCAATAACGTGTTGTAAGAATAATTATTGTTGGGACTGCATTTTTGAGTATTTTCACACTTAGAAACTCATGTTACTTTGTTCTGGCTAGACCATGGGCTATCTAGAAAGAAATTTAATTTTCTAGGAAAAAAAAACTCTTCTATGGGCAATTCATACTCCCGACTGAAGAAACCACTTTCCTGGACAGGCACTGTTTCTCAGAGTTTGCTGTCTCTCATGCTATGACTTGTAATTCCTGGGGAGTCCACTACATACACTGGGCATTCTGAACTTTAATCCTGGCACCTTTTGCCTTTGTTTACTCAGAGACGAATCACGTGTACATCCAGAAAAAACTCACTGCGTGCGCCGCCTGAACAGTGATGAAGTCTTGCGCGTTACAATAGTAAATATGTACAGAGCCCCGGAGAACTCTCACATCAAGCCTCACACTCTTCTGCCCAAGAAGGGGGCCTTATCAGCTTGCCCTGACAGATCTGCGCTCAGCATCTGGTCTTCTCGCCGCTTCCCCTGCCCCTCCCCTTTAGTGACACAGTGCTGGGACTTTGCCAAGGCTGTTCCTTGGCTTATACACCATTTCAACCGTTACTTAAAAAACTTTTCTTCGTCTTGATTCAAGGGGTCTGAGAACGCTGAGCCCCAGCGGGCACCTCTGAGACCTTGCACCATGCCCCTCAAGGTGCAGAGCACTGTCTCAGCACTCTGCCTCTTTGGGGTCTTGACCCTACTGCTGTGCCCTTCTGGCCAGTGTGGTGAGTACAGTGGTTATGGGGGGAGAGGAAGTAGTTTCTCTAAGATATGGAGAAAAATACCCAATCGAGAATTAATCAAATATAGTCAAATGGTGGTAATGCATAACCTTTTTGAAAGAGTACAACAAACTACGTTATTAATGAAAATGAAGAATTTAAAAATATAAAAGAAACTGTTCTAGACAGAGGCTGTTATTATGTCTAGAATAATTGTGTTCACATGTAAAAATCCTTGTGAGGCTGCTTTAGTAAGAAATGATCTCTAATTTCAAATAATTTTCTTATATTTAAATGTTTAAAACACATTTACTTTCCAAATAGGTTAATTGTGCTCTTTACAAGCTTAGTTACTGATTGATTAAAAAAAAGTTTCCATTCATAAAGCAAAAATATTGTGTGTTATCACAAATACTGAGTAAATTTTCTAGAGTAAAATATAGGGCACTTTGAAAACTGTAAACCATTATATAAATGTACAGAATTGTTATTGCAATGTAAGAAATTTTTTTTTTTAACAAATGAAAGAGAAATGAAAGGGTTTGAGAGAACAGAGCTGGTTAAAGATCTACTGCTATGGAAATTAATTTGTTGTTATATTATTTAAAAGGACCATCCTTTAAGCAAAATTATATTTTTCTCTTGGGTTAGCTAACATTATTTTTTATCTGAAATAATTAATTTTCACAATAAATTAAAGATATTTATAAACATATTCCCTGAAAAAGCTATCATGGCACAAAAATGCAGGAGTTGGAATAGCTTAGAGGGAAAATCGTGACTCTAAAATAATAGTTGAATGTTCTTATGTGAGCTAGCAGGTTGATTTAAAAGTGTGGAAGCCATGCTTTCTTCATCACTGAAAGTGGTTAGGGGGATGGATTTATTAAGGAAGAATTATATTTGGAGGTTGATTTTTCACATCAGACAATGAAAATTATTGAGGAACAGTATTAATTTAGGCTATAGACTCAGTATAGAATAAGGAACTTTATGCTCAGGGGATTTTCAATTCTCCAATTTTGACCCTGAGTTCCTCTCTTAGGGTGTGAAGTAGTAGAAGGCCATATTAAATTTGTCAACATCTTTATTATTATATTTCTTTATGTTTCTATTTCCCTGTTCTTTTTCCTTCTGTTCCCTCAAATCTTTCCATTACATATTTCCTCAACCCTCTGAAATGACATTTAATGTCTGTCAACTCTGACTTGAATCTCCCTTTCTGACTGCCTCCTCTCTCTCACAGTAACAATCTTCTGATGCCAGAGACTTTGCTCATGTCCTCAGTCTACCTATCGATCTACCTCTACTATCTTATCTACTCAACTTCTACCATTCCTTCAAAATGTATCTCCAACTTATTCATGGATGCCTTCTCTCAATAAATTCTTCTATAGAATTTATTTCCTGTCCCGATCTCTTGGCACGTGTGTGACTGGTATTGTGGTATAACTTTTTATATGGCTATATCTTATCTTTTTAAGTACGTTGCAAGAATGGCCCTTAATATTACCTGAAAAACCTAGTACAGAACTCCATATATATGTTTATTCATAAAAGTTAAGAACGTCTTTTTATATTTCTATAAAGGCACTTAATCTGAGCTTTAAGGAAAGGTATATGAAAGCTGTTGACTTACACACAGGAGAATTAAACAGAATTTACCTTGGAATTACTGTTACTGTGCTTTCTGAATCTTCCAGAGTTGAAGATTTGGGAGGAGCGGAGGTAAGGGAAACAGAGCTTGACCTGAGCTGGTTCTTGGTTTCATGGGTGTTTAAAGTTTTCTTTCTCCCATGTGAATTTGTTTGTTTTTGTGGGTACTACATCATCACTGAGAATCTGCTAACTGCAGTTTCTGGGGTACAGTCAAGCCAATCTCTGATTCTTGCGATCGCTTACTCTTTCCAATCTGGTCACTCCTAGAGCTTTTTTATTTATTTATTACTTACTTAATTAATTAATTTTCTTTTTTAACAGAGGTCTTCCTCCCACCTCAGGTGGTCCTTTTGGACTGACCTGAAGATGACTTCACAATGGCTGTCTTTCTCAATGCAGGTCATTTATAATCCATGGGAAGTACTTACTCATCATTTGTTCTGCATAATGTCAGGAATACAGACCATTCTTAAAGCAACAAAATCTGTCCTTCACTCTCACCATTAGAGCCATGAGACAGCCCATTTAATGTTCCTTCCAAACTGAAAGGAGACATATCAGGCTTTCTCAGGGGGCTACCCAGACTCCCTCTCTCATTGTGAAGGAGAAACGTACTCATACACCTGCCTCATCTGGGGACAGGGGTGGTGTTCACAGAATATCAAAAGCTTTACAAAAAATACTTCCCCAAATGTTATTCTTAAAAAAAAATTATCTCTTACTTTGTAATGTCTTTGATTTGGGTGAGGGATTTAACTGGTTCTGAGCCACCTACTTCATCAATTACTTGACATTGCAAGTAACAAGAAGAATATTATTCCTTAGCCTGAACTTCCATTTTATGGCCTTTTAAACATTCATCGATGCCATGTAAAGTAAGTGTTCAATGATTGCTACAGAGAGCAGAAAACAGCAGATTTCCAGAAAGTAGCAAGGGGAATTTGAAGAGATACAAACCTAAGTTTGATGCAAGTTACTGGCACTTATGTAAGGCCACATTTGACCCTCCTAAAGTGTGTTTCCTTTTCTCTAGAATGGGTATGATGATAATACTGCCTCAAAGAGTGTGAGGATTAAATGCTTTAACATACATAAAATAATAACATAGTGGTAAAGAACTCAATCATTCCTAGTGATTTTGTCAAGGAAATGAATTATACCTCAGCAGCATAATTTAATGATTTAGTTCTATAAAATGGGAAGAATCCCTCAATCTGAATTGTTAATTAAATTAAACTAGCTCATTTTCTTTCACCATTCAAGATTGCAGAATATTTCCTAGCATTGCCCATGGATCTCATCAAGACATGAGTTCATTTTTATCCTTTACAACTGTGGTGCACTATGAATGTGATGAAGGGTATGTTTTGGTTGGAGAACCTCAAATCACCTGCAGAAATTCACAATGGTCATCTCCAGCCCCTCAATGTAAAGGTAATTCCAACTTTATTGATGGTCCTTGCTAAGAAGGTAGACCTACCATGAAAGTTCTGATAGTAGAGTCTCCTCCCAGCCAGAGGCAACACTTAGAAATTTGTATTTTATCTGTTTATTTATTCATTTCATATAGTTAACATTAATAATGCATACAGTACAAACTTTAATAGTATGAACTAGCACCCAGTTTATCACACTGTTACCAATTGTGTATGTTTTCAGAGGTAATCTAGAGAGCCACTATTTGCTTTGTTTTACTAAAATTTTTAATTTAAATATAACATACTACAGAACTGTGTACAAATCTTAGGCATACAGGTCATTGACTATCATAAAGTGAACCCACTCGTGAAACTATCACTCAGGTCAGGAAGTATTACCATTACCAGCACCCCAGAAGTGTCCCTCATGCCCTCTCTCTTTTACTTCTGATTCTTCTCCTCAAAGGAGGTCACTATTCTAACACTATAGATTAGTTTTGCCAACTTCTGAACTTTGCACAAAGGAAATTATGCATGTACTCTTTTGTGCCTGGTTTCTTTCCTCAACATCATCTTTTGGAAAATCATCTGTGTTCTTACATGTAATGATAGTTTATTCATTTTCATTGCTATAGAATGTTCCCTTCAAGGAATATACCACATCTTATGTACCTTATAAAAGTTTGAGTTTTTAATGTTTTAGGCTATTATGAATAATGATCTTATGGACATTCTTGTGCATGTCTCTTAGTACAAATGTGCATTTCTGTTAGGAATAAACTTAGGAGTAGAATTGCTGTTTCATAGAGTAGTCACATATTCATCTTTAATAGATGATACCAAATTTTGTTCAAAACTGGTTGTAACAATTTACATTTCTACCAGTTGTGTATGAGTGTTCTAGTTTTGATAAACAGAAGTTGTATATTTAATTTCATTCAAATTATTAACCTTTTTTCTTGATGCGGAGCCTTTTGTGTCCTGTTTAAGAAATATTTGCCTACAGCAAGGCCACAAAAAATATTCTCCTATGTGATCTTCCAGAGCTTTATTGTTTTATCTTTCACATTAATATCCCTGACCCTGGAATTCTTTTGGGTTTATTGTGGAAAGTAGGGGTCAAAATTTGTTTTTCCCCAGTGAACAAACAATGAACTTTGCACCACTTAATAAACCATAGTTTCACACTGCTGTGCAGTGCTACATTTGCCATAATTCAAACATCTATGTATGTATGCTTCTCCTTTTGCACTTAGAGATAGCAATTTTTAATTTGAGAGTATCAGTGAGGATTGAGAAAAATTTTAGTGAGTACCTGCTTAAGTTCAAATGAGGACTCACAGATAAATTCCAAATATTCCCTGAAATATCTGATATATATATATTTTTTTAACTGAGCCATCCTGCCACCTGTTGGCAGCTTAGCGGCTGCTCAGTTCAGGCTGGGAATCGAGCCGCTGTTGCTCAGAGCTCAAATTCTTGAGCGAGCTCTTAACCAACTGAGCCACTCAGCCAGCCCTGAAATATCTGATATTTTTATTAGAGCCTCATGCTAGCACCGTTTCATATTGAAGTTGACCTGATAAGAGATTGTAGTTGACCATCAAGATTAGGTGTGCCTTGGGCCAGCCGAGTGGCGCGATGGTTAAGAGCTGGCTTGGGACGCCAGAGGGCCCCGGTTCGGATCCCACATATGAGGGCCAGTGACACTGCCCTCTACA